TCCAAAGTAGGTTGCATGTGAACTTAGGAATTGTTTTCTAGTTTATTTGTTTTACCCAAAACCCATCAAAAACCACATAAGAAAAAAGAATAACACCATGTTAAGAGGAGGATTTCAACAAATCAGAAGAAGAAAACTATGTCTTCAAACAGCTGAATTTGCACATTTTTTACTCATAGTTTGAAAACCAAAATAAATTTGGATACCTATTCATTTTGTTCTTAATTACCACTTGCCAAATTTACCACTCATAAAACTCAATGTTGGAGGGTTCCTTTCATGTTCAGACCTCTAGCTGCCAACACATTTTTTGCTTTAGATGGATGATCTAAGAAATGTAAATCCCATGTGCAGCAACATATGCTCCTACAACTGTCCAAGATCTATTAGTGCCTATAATTTAGCTTGGAAATAACATAATATGTGAGAAAAAATAAATATGTTTCAAATACAAAGATTACATCAATGACATCCCTAAGAAGCTAGAAAATTCAATATCTACTTCACATTCGAAATAAATAACATGTCATTGCATTTGAAGATTTGAGATCTACTTCACAGTCAGAAGTTGAAAACTAAGAAGCCAGAAAATAGATGAAAGGGTATTTTTGTAAATACTTGTACACCATTAATAAAGTTGGATTCAGAACACCTAACCTTGAGTTGGTGGACTGTGTACTGATGATGTACAAATAATAGTTGCATGGACTGAAGAAGAGGCAACAGCATTGACATTGCTGTTTGCAGGCTGAAAGTGATGCAAATAGAATCACACGTAACAATTCGTCATAAGATTAAACACTTAACCAAGGATAATCATAGAAAATGGGTTACGATACAAAAAGATGATTATTAATCAAGAAGGCATCATACACCATGTGCTCCAAACGATGAAGGTGGAAGACCGCATGTATACCAAATTCTCAAGTTATACCAAGCCTGAAAAAATGATTGATCAAATCAACTAATAGCTAAAGAATAAAAGCAAAAAGCAATAACCTAACAACACTTAAAATGTTTCTTTTAGTACTTCCTATGAGACAAAATACATGTAGTGTTTTACTAATGCCAATGATTTTGGCTAAATTTTGCACATTTTTCTCGATTCATCATAACGTGAGCAATGATTATTGTTTTCTTTTGTCATATAAATGATTTAACAAAATAAGAAGAAAGACACACACACACAAACAAAAATTGAGAATGCATGAAACAGAAAAAATCTTTCTTTAAATTACCATCTTCATATGAATTGCTTCTTTTTTCCAATTGCTCCTCTTTCTCTGGTTTTCAATGGTGTTTTCAAATAATAATAACCCAATATTTTGCATCTGATTCTTCTTTAACTTTATCCAATCCATGATCATCTCTCTCTAGAAACCTTTTTTTTTGTCTAAAACCATTTGATGACTGTCTTCTCCATATCCTTTCACCACTTTTATCATTTTAAGTATCCACATATGAACATATGAGCGTGAATCACTATATAGTACATATTGTTATACAATCAAAGGCTCCTCTTTTAAAGTACATCAAAAGTTCCAAATCCTAAATAACAAACCTGATTTTAATCGGGTTCTGGTTCATTTTCATCTAGACATGAAAAGCCTCTTTCAAACCTAAAGAAAACATACCAATGAGATTGTGAAATTGAATCTGTTAAACCAAAACTACCACATTCAGAGAAGGAAATGAAGAAATTCAACCTATGAAACCCTCTTTTTCTGATTCATGTCGCTTTCTTACTCCAGATTCCACTTCCTGCAAAATTTTTACAAATATTCTGAAACCAAATAAAATATGAGTCTTTGCAAATAACTCCAAGAAACACATATACACATTAAGACATATCAGATTTGCAGCATAATCAAATATTTATGCAATTAAGCAAAAAAGGGAGCCTTTAAATGGTGAAAGAGGAAATAATTACCTCCTCTATGGAAATATTCTCCATAAATTGCATACCCTGTGATTAAAAGACAAAAATTACAACATAAAGATAAACATTAAGAAGGTCAGTGAAGGGGTAAATCATTTGATAGAATTTCTTACCTGTAAGGTGGTAAATACGAATATGAGATGTGAAGGCCATGAATCTAGGATTTGGTTAGAGAGAAAATGAAGATGAAGGATAAGATTCAGATGATTAGTAGTGGTGGTGAATGTCATGATGACTGCTGCCCATTATGCTGGCGTGCAGTGACATGGGTGAAGATGTGAGCACCGTTATATCTACACAACCCATGTACATGGAACCCCGACTTTCATTTATACACAACAAAATCCCATTATTCCATAAAATCAAAGGAAAACTTGAATAAAAAGGAAGCACACGAACCTGGAAATTAAACAAACAACCGATCATGGCGTTTGAGCCGAGTGGCGGTGGTTGTGAACGTTGGTTAGGGTTAGGGTTCTCAGAGGCGACGACTTTGATGCGATGGTGGTGAAAGTTTATCATTTCTTGATTATCGAAGGTGCTGGTGAAGCTTCCCGTTTGTAGTGATGTACTTGACGGTTGATATCACAGAACATAGAGAAAAAAGTAATAAAAGGAAATGAATTAGAAGATAGCAAAAACGTATACCTTGAATTTATCATAGAGGAAGACAGAAGGGGTGGTGGAGAATCAGAGTTTTCGAATTTGGGATTTATTTACTGAGATATAGGCTAAAGACCAGGTCAAAATAAACAGAGACAAAAGAGAAGGATAAGAAGCCGGGTATGTATTGCATTCGGTATTTATACATATTGCATTACATTTTGTACCATTTAATTTAAATTGGATACGTCAAAATTTTAAGGAGCTGGAATGTTGGATCAAAAACTCAAAATTATTTAAAATACTAATTCAATCTCTCTTTAATCCTGAAAGTAAGGAAATACTGATTTAAAGGTGTTGTTAATACTTGTATCCGTAGCATTATAATTTGTAAGATAGATATTATAATATTATTATATTAATGATTGGTTGTACTTTAAGCTAAAAGAC